GTTCACATTTTCACACTTATGATACTGTTAATTTATGTTATTTTTTCCTACTCATGAATGTCAATAATGACAGAGAAAAGAGCACTGAAGAATAATGAAAATGGTGAAGAGTCCATCAAAGTGTGATTAAAACAGTCCAAAAATACGTGAAAGTTCATGAATTTTGCAGAAGTGTTTCATAATAGTGAAGTTCACTGATGTGAATTAAAGACTAGTAAATTTGGTCAAGATATGTGGTCCTCACATCTGCATAAGTGGGATTCAGGCAAAATATAAAAGAGCCAAGTGTGGGGGAATGTGGTGGCATCGTTCTGGTTCTGTCCTTCAACCAGGTAGGACTCACTCAAGCCCCTGTGGGAAGTCACAGATGAAGACACTTCAGGGGGAGGATACCAGGAAGAAGGCAGAAGAGGAGGTGCCAGGAATCCGTCTCCCACCCAGGCAACCAGTCACGCTGGTAGAATCTTGGGATTCTATTTGGGAACTTTGGAGACTTTACAGCTTTTGGGGGATGGCTTCGATGGTAAATTGTGATTAATTGCAGTCAACTGCATCTCTGAGCCCCAGCCCCAGCCCCAGGGCAGACAGCCATGCACACGTTCCTGGAGCACATTGCAGATAGCTTGCAGGAGGCCAGGGTGAGCAGTAAGGAACCATCCCCCCAGTATCGATCGTCTGTGTTCTGATCACTAATTGCTGCCTTAAACTCTATCCTGGATGTCTGAAATACGACCGACTGGCCCTGCTCGAAGCTTATTCACAAATGACGGAGTCTGGGTCCTGGGCAGTGTGGTTGAAGCTGTTACTGTACACTGGTCTCATCTTTCTGCTTGAAGTTCTGTTGAGAGTAGCCTTGATTATATTCTGTACAAGAGAAATTAAATGTAGTTAGCCCTAGTCTCTGTTGGTCAGATTTATCAGAATGGCAGATGGAGTGGTATACTCATGTGACTATTTGAGTTCAACCAAGAAAATTAGGGTCAGATATTGGAGGAGGCAAACTGCTATAGTTCCTGAGCATTCCTGAACATTGTGGGCATGCCAAGAATACAAAGCCCTGACCGCTCTTTGCTTACTGCCTTCTGTAAAAGAGGTGGGTTTCCCGTGGTCGGTGTTCCTCAGATGTGGCACAACCCCAACTACCTGTGTAGCATAGAGAAGGCGTCTCCATACTGGCCCCGTGGAACTCAGGGCACCCAGGGAAACCAACAGAAGCATGATGCTTTTGCTTCGCAGTCTGCTGTAATAAAGCTCTTTGTCTCTGGAAGAAAAAAATCCAATAGAAGCCTGAAAAGAAAAATAAATACATGGTAAAGGAATATATAAAATAAGGTAGAAATTAGTCCAGATAATTGCTAATAAAAAATTTATATAAATTAAATTTACTTGATAAAATGAGATTTTGAGAAGGAATTTTAAAATGATCTGTGACATATACAAGAGACACATTACATAAAAAGATGATGAAAGTCATGGAGCGGTCAAACATCATATAAAACAAATAATTAGAAAGGCTTCTGCTAATAAGTATTTAATACACACCAAATATCGTGTTATGTTATTTAATATTTGTAAGCTCTCGTAAAACTTGAAACAATTGATTTTGTTAGAATGCTGCCAGATGACATCTATATTGATCTTAAGGTTTATAACAAACTTGAAAACCAGGTATTTTTAAGAAGCAGAGAATGAAGTTATGAACACTCAAGTAATTTCTCGAGAACTTATATAGAACATATGATCTAACTAGGACTCAGTTTGCTTCCTTCCATCCTCCCTCCCTCCGTCCCTCCTTCCTTTCCTTCCTTCCTTCTTTCCTTCCTTCCTTCCTTCCTTCCTTCCTTCCTTCCTTCCTTCCTTCCTTCCTTCCTTCCATTCTTCCTACCTTATTCCTAACTCCAAAGCTATTAAACTTTCTGTCACTAAGTCTCTTATTCATGCACTAGGTATGAGTAACTTATAAATATGAGACCATTTGGCAACTGTCTACAATGTTATGGTAAATGGAAAAGGCTATGTTAGCTCTGGAGGCATAACCAAATGATTCTGACCTATTCTCTCTTGCATTCTACATCTCGCATTTTTTTAAGTAATGAGATTATCTAATGTAATAAGTGCACATCATCTGTGGTGGTCTTGGAAGGTATGTGTTGTGTGGGGGGAAGGTGCAGGCAGGTGTCCAGAGAGGAGGCTAAAAGGCATAAAGAGGGTGCTAATATCCTTTACTTGTGGACGAGGGACTTCTTTGCTTTTTTTGGGTCTCCTACAGCTTGAGGTGAATGATTTCCCTTTCATACCCTTAACATAAATGATTACAATGACAAGCCTGGTTTCAACTATGTAATCCCCTTTGCGTATCTTAGGTGGGAAGGCATAAAGTTACCTATTGCACTTGCAAGATATTGAATACATTGTATTCAGTAAGTCCTCATGAATGAATGAAAGTATTGGGAGTTACTTATAGAAATGTGACATAAGTACGATAGCATCTTTCCTCTCTGCATTGTTCAGTTTTTTGCTGTGTTAAAGTCCCAGAGCTATTCCTCTCCACGGTCCTGCTTCTGCACTTTCCAGGTTCAGTTTGGTTGCAGTTTTTAATCAGTTTACACCCCATTCTACTCAGGCTGCCACTCACACTGCAAAAACCATTGCCCATAGCACAACTTTTATTACTGTCTATGAAAAGAAAACACAGATTGATATATCCTCAAACTCTGTGTAACCTATAGAACATGCAGATAGATAACTTATTCATGCAATATGACTTTTTAACTCAAAATACTAATATGAAAAATATGAATAATATGAAAAAATACGTAAAAGACAGTGAAGCCAGTCCTAATTAGCATTGTCTGAAGACCAGCAGCATGTAACATCTCGATTAATTAATAGCTGTCCTCTTTCTTGATTGCCTTAGAGTAAAAAAAAAAAAAAAAAATTCCTGCATTTTTGCATATGTGTGCCATGTCATTCACTCCTTTGTTTTCACGTTCCTGTCCCTGGTGTCCATGGAGCACAGCAAAACTGATTTGTTCAGGTCTTCGCTCAGTCATTAACTTACTGTCCCACCTTCCCCAGTTCCCTGAAGTTCTATGAACATCAGTCTCTTCATTCATAAACGAGGTAGTTAGAACTGCACTCTTCTTCATCTGTATGCTGGGGAAACCAGTTGTCTCTCCAACCGTAAAATTCTATGGATCTGATGAAATATTATTTGAAATAGACCAATTCATGGTGATGGATGTGGACATTTAAGGTTGCAGGACTGAGCAGGACAAGCATCTCGTGAAGAAATGATTTTGCCTGATAAGGAGTTTTTTGGCCTGGACAGAAAGAATGAAAGAAGGAGGAGATAATATAATGACCCTGCAAAAATAATGAGGATCTATTCCCTTTATCAACAGTGGAGATACTTTTGGGATCTTGTTTCCAGTAGAGGGTGGGCCACAGGGGAAGTAATTCCTTTGTAGCCTGTGGGTTTCTCAAAAGAGAACAGAGATCGCCATCTTGATAACTAAAGATTTCGGGGACTGAGAATAAAAAGTGGCTCAGCTCGGGGGGCACAGCAGAGGGTTTGGGCCCCTTGTAGACTTCAGAGTGGCCCAAGAGTCTCTGCAAAACCGGGAGATTTACTAGAGGATGGGTGTACTCAAAACTGCCATGCACCTGCTTGGAAGCAGGAATAAAGCCGCAGTGCTGTGTTCTTAATTGTGTTTCCTGATGTGCTTTGCAGTAAAACATGTTTGTCTCTTATGTTAAATATTCCCCGAAGTGCTAGAGGTAAAACCATGTCCCCTCAGATAATTTCATAGCATCCTTGTCTTTGCTTCAAGTCCCCTGAAGGAGACCTGTGATAAAGATCTGAGCACAAGTAGTTTGTTCAGGTGGTTCTAGGAAGTTTTGGCCTTGAGTGTGAAATAGAGAGGGAAAGGAAGAAAGTCAATACCCAGGGTTTACTGATGATCGGGGCAGGTGATTGGGGCACCCCACTGTGATCCCCGGGCGATGGTTGGGGACATGTTTAGAGCTGTCCTAAGCGACAGGAGAGCCAGGGTGCATAGGCATTTTTCAGTTGTGCTGTGTTAGGTTGTTCAGAGGGTGAACTTCCTGGTGCTTCCCCTCGGCCCCACACAGAGTACATGCTTCCAGCCAGAGGCAGCTGACAGAGTCCGGCACAAGACACACTAGTGCAAGGACACGAATGAGAACACGGTCCCCACTTGTGCTCCTCAGACCCATCTGTGTCTCACATTCTCTTCCTCACGTCTCATCTTTGCTTTAGCAAGATCATGGCCCATCAAGATGTGACATACATACTTACAAAACCTTTTTATTTTGAAATAATAATTGTAAGATCACATGCACTTTAAAGAAATAACACAGAGATCCCATATTTCACTCATTTTTCCCCAATTGCAGTTAGCTTAGAATATATCATTAATAATCATTTTTTGCCTTTTATGCCACAGATTCCAGATTTACCTCAACCAGCATCAACACATCTGATGATCTTGGTTGCTTGCTCAGCAAAGTAGTCAAGATATATCACGTTAAAGTATATGAACATCCGGGGTCTTTGCTCCTTCAGACCATGATTTCTGCGTTAGCTACTGAAGGTCATCACCAAGGATGGATGTCCTAAGGGGTGCCCACGTCAATCTACTGAGCTCAAGATATACACATCTTTGTCCTTGCTTGCCACAGTCCCATCTCCTGACCCGAAAGGTTCATTGTTTCCAGCAGTATAGTATTTTATCTCCTGGCCACCTACAGGTCTACACAAGAGAAACCTCAGATAGCTAAGTGGTTGTCATAGCTTTATGTTTATCAAAACTCAAGTCTCTTCTAGGAGGAATGTCCCCCACTCAGCCTTCCTCTAAGACAGAACTTGATGGCATAGACTCTAATGTTAGAGGGACAGGAAGTATAGATTATGCCCTGGGTCACTGAGAATGATCGTGAGATGAGCCACTCTTAACCACCATTTATTTCTGTTCCAGAGACACAGGACCATTGATGCACAGGACCCCAACCCCACAGGTGTCTTTCCCAAGCTGGCCATCTCATCTAAGCTGTCTGTAAATGAAGCCCTTCCAACCTTCCAGTATTCTATTGGGAAAGAAGTTTCTGGGTGAAAAGTACATGCTAGAACCAGGCCATCCAATTTTCATGAGCAGTCCAGGTTCTCAGAAGCATCCACTCAAATGTCCCCTGCCAGATCTCGACATCTCAGTCCTCCTTAGCACTGGCAACTTACTGCAGCTCGAGTTCAGCCTTGGTATAACCACTCACTCTAGCATTAAAGTCTTCATCTTCATTTTTTTTTTTTTTAAAGATTTTATTTATTTATTTGACAGAGAGAGACATAGTGAGAGCAGGAACACAAGCAGGGGGAGTGGGAGAGGGAGAAGCAGGCTTCCCACGGAGCAGGGAGCCCGATGTGGGACTCGATCCCAGGACCCCGGGATCATGACCTGAGCTGAAGGCAGACGCTTAACGACTGAGCCACCCAGGCGCCCTTTCGTCTTCATTTTTAACACGTTCTACTCTTTGGCTGTAGAAAGAGGAAGGGAAGTTCTTTCAAGCCTACCGAGGAGGCCTTCTGTTGTGCACAGCATCCCCTGAGTTAAAAGGCTGGTATCAGCCTGTTTTTTTGTTTTGTTTAAGAGCTCTGGCTTACAGTTACTGTTGGCTTAAAATATGATAGGCCTTAGAATACTGTGAAGGCAAATGCAGTTCCTGCCAGACCTCATCCCAGTTCATTAGAGCCGAGTCTTAGAACTTCATTGCTTCAGTAAATCATAGGTTAACACCATGCAGCTTGCCATTGGCAGTGGCGACCTTGTTAGCATTTTCTGAGAGATCTCATAACCCCATCTTAAAAATCTGACTTCTGAGGCCATGTGTAGTATCAGTGGTCTTTGTTTGGGTCTCACCAAAAAAGACCCTGATCCATAAATTTGAGTGCAAGTCGTTTATTTTGGCAATGATGCAAGCAGCACTGTGATGAAGTGAGTTGTTTGGGTGGGGAAAGGAAGGAGTCAAGTACAGGTATGCCAGTGACTGCTCCTTCCACAGGTGATTGATTCACGCACTTTCTGGAGACCCCCCTGAGCTAGTGTATCTGAAGAACGAGGGACGGTGTCATTCTCAGTGGAGAATTGCTGTGTGGCCAGTGTCATCATCTTGCCAATTTGCATATGTGCCCAGAAAACTTCCTTGGGCAAGGGGAGTCCTCATTCATCACACAAAGAACTGCAGTTTCTTGCAGTAAGAAATAATTGATATGTATAGAAAAGTTATGAGTACAGGGGCGCCTGGGTGGTGCAGTTGGTTAAGCATCTGATCTTGCTTCCGGCTCGTGTCATGATCTCAGTCATGAGACTGAGCCCTACATTGGGCTCTGGGCTCAGTGGGAAGTCTGCTTGGGTTTCTCTCTCCCTCTTCCCCTCCCACTCATGCTCTCTCTCTCAAATAAATAAATCTAAAAAAAAAGAAAAGTTAAGAGTACATGTGGACATGAGGTCCTTAGTATCTGTTATACCACTCTTTAACCAAATTAATGCAAACTTTCCTGGATGAAAAGTCATCTATTTTAAATATAACAAAGAGAAAGAAGTTATGCTTTATTTTACCCTTTATGCATTCAAGTCTGCTGACCATCACTATACTTAGGAGGTGAGCTAAAATTTCTAGCATCACAAAAGAAAGCAATAATCTAGGATCACTGAGAACGTGTGGCTGATTAGAGATTTTCACCAAAATTTGCACCCATTCACTACACAATCCCAGGTGGGAGCCAGGTCAGACCATTTTCATTATGTGATATTAAATTGTGCAACTAATTATCAGTCTCTTGTCTGATGATCCCAAATACCATATATAACTAAAGAAAAAGTAATTATTTTCCATCCGGTTTCATAAATGGGAAATCTGAATTTCAGACATCTAGTGTCAGCTAGTGACTAATAATACAAGGAAAACTCAGAGCTCTGTGCAATTACCCACTGAAGGCACAGATTTACCCAGGTTTAAATGACCTCAGACACTATCAAATGTATGTGTTCACTACAAGCTCTCAGAGTATTAAAGTATACAGAATATTCTTAGTCAAGCAGTCTTGTTGTACGTGGTTTCTAATTATGGAAGCAAGACATCACCATTATCATCAGTCACCTCCACCGCCACCACCACCAGCACGACCATCACCACCAGCACTGTTTCAGAAGAGCACATATGTGCAGGTGAGAATGGTGAAGACGTCCCATCTTTGCACTCAGGCTTTGGGCTCTTCCTACCTGGATTTCTTGTGTCTGTATTTCACCTTTTCAAATGTGGCTGCATTTCTGTTGACTCCAGCTCTGCTGGAAAAATATACATGTTTGTAGTTTGGACCAGTGATTTGTCTCACTAAGTTCCTTGTGTTTTTTGATTTGCTGAAGTACGTTTAAATAACAGCAGTAAGAGTATTCACTCTCAGCACATTCAGTGCTTACTAAGTGTAGTGCTCTGTTCTCATCATGTGGGATACAGTGGTTAAACCAAAGTTCCTGACTTCAGTGACTTATAATTTAGTGGAGGAGACTGAGCAAACAGTCGGGAAATATGGATTATAACATCCTATCATACTCTGAAGAAAAAACATAAAGCAAAAGTTAAAGGGGTATAATGAAAACTTATATTCGATAGGTGGCCCGCCCTGACAGGGTGACATTTGAGCAGAGACAGGAACAAAATGTGGCAGAAATTTAAATCAGTGACTGAGGGAAGCAGGGTCCTGGCAGGAGGACATAGTAGAGCAGAGGCCCTGAGACAGGACAGTGTGCCATGTCTTTGTGGGAGAGTTTGACATTTGGGATGCTTAGAGCAGAGAGGGAGGACAGAAGTGAAGAATGTTTGAAGAGAAGCTCAGGGCCAGATAACGGGGCTTTGTAGCTCATGGTGAAGAGTTACATGTATTTTAAGTTAGGAAGCTGGTAAGAATTATGAGCAAGGGAGTTGTATGGTCTGTCTCATACCTTAAAAGAGCACATGGCTACTATTTGGAGAAAAGTGTAGATAAAATGTAGGAAGGCAAAAGGTGATGGTGCTTGGATTGTGTAGTACCATTGGAGATGGTGATAAATTGCCAGATTATGGACAGATTTTGAGATTATGGCTGGCGGCATGCGTTTGTCCTGGGTTCCTGACATGTACGTGGTCATATTAATGTTGTCTAGTCAACTGAGGGCCTGCTCTGGCCCTGCTTTATCCGACAGAATTTATCTAGCCAGGGTCTTGATATTCCTTAAATACTTCTAATGGCACCATGTGGCATATCCAAAGGGATAAATATGATGAGATACAAGAGCTGTCTTGAAACCACATGGAGACTTTCTCAAAATTGGGAATGCTGTGCCGGGAGATGGGAGGATGGAGTCGCTCTACCCAGGTCGACCTCAGACTGCCTGCCACGCCTGCCCTTGTGCGTTTGCTAGCGATTCCCCTGTCCTGCTTGCTGGCAGTGGAGTTTGATGGTCTGTGATCAAGTGTATCGGCTTTACCTTGGTGTTCCAGACTTGACAGGAAGAGGGATGCAACCACACAGGCATGGAGGGAGGGCTGTGTCGGGGAGGAGCCTGCTGCACTTCCAGATGGAGGTTAGCCTCCCCATCTGTACCTCCCAGCGTGGATGCCACTGCTCTCACCAATGCATCATGTGCCACAGGAAACCTCTCCCTGATTCTGAGCTTCCCTGTGTTCGGGATCAGAGAATCCTGGAATTTAAGTGCTGGGGAGTGCCTTAGAGATGATTTTATCTGATAGAGAAGAAAACTAAGGTGTAAATGTCAAGGATAATTCGCTGTTGCCACAGAGTCGAACAGAGGCAGAGCTGGGACCAGCTTATACCTTCAGTGGCTTTTCCTTTAAGAGTCTGGCTGATTATGTGAGATTTAATCCCGCAGGAGTTGTAAGAGGAGCACCTTTTGGACTGCATTCCATCTTTAACTCCAGGACATGTAATTATTCACGTGAGTGTGTTATTTTTAGCTTTGACAAAAACAGTTCCATCAGCTATTTTGGACACTTACCAGAAAATTAGTCCCAGATGTTTCCTTTTGTCTCATTTTATTATAAGAATAGTTTAAAATAAGTCATGATGGAGTCCAGACCAAGATGGTGACATAGGAGGCTCCTGAGCTTCTGTCCTCCCACAGATGCACCAAATACATAGCTCCACACAGAACATTTCCCTCTGAAATCCTGAAACTAGCTGAGTGGCATAAGAGCACCGAAACATACACAGTAAATACTATAGATCTCAAGGGAGAATTGAACAGCAAGACATTAAGCATAGGGGATTTCAATGCTCCACACTCAAAATGGATAGATTATCAAGACAAAACCAATAAGGACAAAATGAGGCTTAGTTAGACCAGTTGGACCTAAAAGACACATAGAGAACTTCCCATCCAACAGCAACGGAACACTACATTTTTCTCAGGCACATGTGGAACATTATTCAGGGTAGATCATGTGTTAGACCAAAAAACAAGTCTTAATAATGTTTAAAAAACTGAAATTATGTTAATTATCTTTTCTAACCACAATGGTTTGAAACTGAAAATCAATTACAAGAGAAAAACTAAAAAATTCCCACACATATGGAGATTAATCAACATGCTAGTGAACAACCAATGAGTGAAAGATGAAATCAAAAGGGAAATCAAAAATATCTTGAGACAGAGGAAAATGGAAACAAAATACCAAAACATATAGATGCAGCAAAAGCAGTTCCCAGAATTTTATAGTGTTGAATGCTTACATTAAGAAAATGTATCTCAAATAAGCATATATTTACATTTCAAGGAACTAGAAAAAGAAGGACAAATTAAGGAAGGAAATAGATCATGGGATTCAATATGAAATAGAGACTAGGAAGATAATAGAAAAGATCAATGAAACTAAGAAACAAAATTGACAAATCTTATGACAAAAAAAAATCAGAAATGAAAGAAGACATTATAGCTGATACCTAGAAATAATAAGGATCATAAGAGATGGACTGCTATGAACAATTATGCCATCAAATCAAATTACCTAAAAAGAATGGGCAAGTACCTAGAAACCTACAACCTATCAAGACTGAATCATGAAGAAATAGGAAACTTGAATGGATCAATAAAGAATAAGAAGATTGAAGTGTAATCATAAATTGGATATAGAAGGAATGCACCTCAACATAAGGCAGGTTTCCTCCGGTATCCAAAAGTAGAGCATTCCTGGGAGACCTTTCATAAGCTAAAGTGATTGTAAAGCAAAGAAGCAATTATTATTTCATAAAAGCAAAAACCCTCTTTGAATTTCTTTTGGTTA